ATTTCTCAGATGATCTCTTCATATTTTGTACATTCCATTGTTCTATTTGAGATATAGTAATTCTATGCAGTTAATATTTGTTCGTCAACAAAACTTTAAAAGGAACTTGGTGAAGCATTCTTGCTCTCAGAAGTGTTTAGTAGTCTATTGTCACCTCAATTCTGCCCTGTCCTTTGATTAAACCAGATATAGTTCCTTTAGAATATTTGAACTGTTGTCTAGCCCATCTTGTTAAATGGCAGTTCTTTATTTCCTGCCAAGTCATAGGGCTATCATTCCATAGAACATTTCCTTAAAAAAATCTGTGTCAGTCTTCTTTTCAACAAATTTCAGGATGAGTGCTAACATCATAAATAATAGCCAAGCAGATTTAAAGAGTTATTCTATTAATCATTGCTAAACTCAGTGTCAGCTTTCTAAGAAAACAAAAACAATATACAAGTTTGTGACCAGCCTGACCAACATGGCGAAACCCTGTCTCTACTAAAAATACAAAAATTAATTGGGCGTGGTGGTGCGTGCTCATAATCCCAGCTACTCAGGTGGCTGAGGCAGGAGAATCGCTTGAACCCGGGAGGTGGGAGGTTACAGTGAGCCGAGGTCGCGTCAGTGCACTCCAGCCTGGGCAACTGAGTGAGACCCTGTCTCAAAAAAAAACCAAAAAAACAAAAAAAAAAAACCACAACAAACAATATATGATGGCCCTGAGCAGGTAGCCATCTATGCAACTACACAGGACAAAAATGAGCAGAAGTTGTCAGGAAGATGATCCCTTAAAGGCTGAACAATAATTTTATAGTCAAAATCAGAGTGAAGATACATTTTTAAAAATTAAGCTAGTTTTTAAAATTGAAAAGCTAACATGTGCCTAAGGGTAAAACAAAAACAAAAACAAACAAACAAACAAACAAAAACCTTCACTGAGTTACATTCCCCACAGAAAACTATTGTTAACAGGAGTTGGGATAGTCCTTGGAATTTCATTTGTAACTGTTAAGAAATGGGACTATATCTTCTATTTTAAAACATATCTAAACAAAACTGTTAGATGAAGAAAATATATGGGGTGTCAATGTGCTTCATTTTTAGGACAGAATTAAAAACTGCTATGAAATGACTGCAAAGACATCTGTATTATAACAGCAGTTGGAATTGGCGATTCGGGAATTATTCATCTTGAACATCTTATGTAGTTTTAAAAATTCTCTAGAAAAACCACATCTGTTTTCATCTTCTCTTGTGTAAATCTTTAATACTGTTCTTGAAATTATACTAAGAAGAACACTGAAAAGTTAGTGAACGTATGTAAAGTAGATCACCTTTAGGATGACCATCACTTTAGGATGCCCATTTATTTTATTAGGATCACTGTGTTGTGCTGTGCACAGAGTGTTTTGGAGGACTCATATTCCTCTACCCCCTTGCCTACTGCATCTTGGTGAGGTCTCTGCTCTGGAACAAATCAACACAGGTTTAAAACTCAGTAATCCAGTCACAAAGAGAAAGAAAGAAAACAACCCCCATTTAAAGCGCTAGTGCTTCCCAAACTTCAGTGTGCACAAGAATCATCACCTTGAAGATTCTGATTCACTGCACTGCTTCACCTCTTTTCCTGCCTTGTGCTTGCATATCTATTATAGTGTAAGCACCTTTATCTCCTCCCTTTAGCTTACTGATTCTCTGTGGCTTGCCACTAGAACTTGTGACCCATGGCATGCTTCAAACTTCTGGAATCAGTATTTACCTCCATTTTAGATTTCTCCCCAGATACAGACCTTTAGCTCTGGTGTATCTTCAAAGCTAGCCCTTCCATGCATATCTCACCTGGCCCTCTCTATGGTGGACAGTAAGGCAGCAATACCGAGGTGCAAAGATCCTCACATTAAGTAGCAGAATGTTGCTATTCAAAATGTCATCTGTGGACCAGCAGCTTTGGCATGACCTGGAAACTTGTTAAAATGTAGACTCTTCGGCACCACCTCACCCTGCTGAATCAGAATCTACCTTTTATCAAGATCCTTAGGTGATTTGAATGCTCATTAAAGTTTAAAAACCCTGATTTAAGATGCTTTTGGCACAAGTAACAGAAAACTCAACTCAAACTGGCTTACATAATACATAGAATGACTTTCAGGTGATCTCATCCAGAGGCCTTTAGGTTATCAGGGCTTTGCAACAAACTCTTTTTGCTTATCTGAGCTTTTTCCTGTAAGCCTACTCCCTCAACATAACTTCACTTTATGTTAATAAAACAATACAAAAGATAGAATGTCTCTAATAAGTGTTCAAGCAAAAACCTATTATTATAGTGCTCTTTGGCCTGTGTCCTAAAGTTTGAAATGATCACTCCTTAAAATAGAAACCCTTGGTTGCAAGTAAAAATCTGACTCAATATCATTTAAATAATAGGAAATTCATCATCTCTAACATCAGAAAGGGCAGGGGATGGCTCCAAAAATAATATACCAAGGTTTCTCTTCTCTGTAGTTCTCTGGACTCTTCTGACTCCAATGACTCCATTTTCAGTGTGCTAGATGACTGAAATTCCAGCAATCATATCCAGACCCCAAAATATCTAGAGACTGAAAGGGACCATCTTTTTCCATGTCTCTTGTTTTAAGAATAGAGAAATCTGTCATAGCAGAGGTTTCCTTACAACTCAGTGGCCAGAATTGGGCATCATACTCTGACAAAGATCTCTAATTGCTTCTGAATATTTACTTTCCCTACCTTCTTTAGTATCACTGTCCTGAGTTTTATCCAGGCACATCACTGGCCAGGTATATTTCCTTGCCTCCCTTGAAAGCCACATTTGGCCATGTGACTAAATTCTAGTGAGTGAAACATATATAGAAATGTTGTGTAGACCTTCTGGGAAGTATCCTTAAAAGAGAGGTAGCATCCTCTTTTTATTCCTCTTCTCCCATTGTGATTTCTGGAATGCAGACATGAAGGCTGAAGCTTCTGCAACCCTCTTGGATCATGAGGACAAGGGTACACTCAAGATTAGGTGGAGCAAAGAACTGGAAGGAGCCTGGGTCCCTGATAAATTCAGGAACCTGTCCTAAGAGCTTTATTCTGCCTACCTCCAGATAGGTGACAGAATAAAACTTGTGTGTTTAATTTACTGTTAATCTGAGTTATTAACTTCTGGAGAATCTAATCCTAACTGATACACGTGCCTTCATATAGCACCCTCATGACTTTGGTCACATCTTTTTTTTATTATCTTATTATTTCTCACCTTCTTTACATTGGCTTTTTCACTTAATTTGAAGAGAATTTTTTATATCATCATTGCTTGACTATAAAATCAGTCCTGCCTGGCAAAAATAGAAGTTAACTGCAAAAATAAAAACAATGGAAATGTATTGAATTTAAAAAATTGGCAAACAATATTCCTGTATGACAAAGGCAACAAGCTTATTTGATATGAAATAGTAGTTGCATTAGCTCCTCGGGGGCTCCAGTGGTCTTCCTTTTATTCACTGACAATATTAGCAGCTTCATTAGGCATTTATCTTAACATGTCTCTAGGGGGGAAAAAAATTCAAGACTTTTACATTTAGTTGGAGTAGTTTTTAAACTTAGCCTAAGAATCACCCGAGGCTCTGGGTAAAATGCACATTTCTGGGTCTTGCCTAGGTGTAGACTCGAGACCAGGAGTCTGCATTGTAAAACAGTGCCCCAGATGACGTCAATACAAGTAGTTTTCAGACCTTAACTTCGGGAAACATGTGAAAAAGCATTCTTTATTACTGTATTCACTCATTCTTCAGTAATTGTCGAGCACCTTCCAGAGTGCTCTGTTAGCCCCTGGTGGGAGGCAAAGGGCAGAGGGTTTGCATGGAGACTTAGGATTCAGTTTTCATGTTTCAAGGGAGTACTGTATCAAATAAGATGCACTAGCAACGTTACCCTAGGAGGTTAGGGTTGGAGAGGTCGCTGTGGGCTGCTGTTGGGAGGAGAAGGCTCTGTGGCCAGGCTGGAAGGACCTGGAGGTTTTTCTGTAAGGAAGGAGGCTGGAGTCAGAAGTTCCTTAAGCCAAGTGAGCCTGGACTTGAGCTTCTAAATGAAAAGGAGTGAAGGCTCTGGTAAAGAGAAGACACATTGTCTCGGGGCAGTGAGCTGTTACTCAAGGTCTTCTGCATAGAGACAGGAGGAAGCCCGGTTTGGAGGAGAGTCATAACCTGGCGTCGATGTTCAGGATGAATGGGATGTAGCAGTAACCTAACCAATAAGTATACCAGTGGTGTGCACCTGAACGAAGAGAACGCTGAGGAGTGGTGAGATTATGACAACATTGAACTTATTTGTAGGGAGTAGGAAGGAGGTGAGAAGGCACCCAAGATGACATGTGCCCCTGTAAGAATGAGAGCACTTTTTAAAGACATCTCCGCAGGGGGAATCCTAGGTAATTCAGCTTCCTCGAACCAATGCAGGGAGTTAAAAGACAAAAAGGACGCTGTTTGTATCAAGCGGATTAACCCTTTTTAGCGTTTCTCTTACAATGGGATCACCTTCGTCACCTGCTCCCAGTTGCTACTCATTACCTTAATAACACTAATAAAGCACCACCACCTCGAAGCTGGGGCGAATAGGCCTAAGAGACGACCTACTTCTGTGGTGACCCTGAACTGCTCCAGGGGACCCAGCTCTCTGAAGCCAAGTGGCTTCCACACTTTGCGGCACAGTGGTCACTCGGGAAATAAAGAAAATAGGCCCACCCTCCAGGTTTGGAAGCCACTGGGCTAGCGGCCTCGCCAGGGCCCTGAAGCGCCCACGTCCTTGCGCCCTCTATCCTCCGCCCCGAGGGTGCGCGCGGAGGCCTCCCGCCCCGGCGGGCCTGGTCCTGGCGCCCGGTCCTCCCCGCCCCACCCCTACCCGCCATGCCCGGCTCCGGGGCAGGTGCGGGCCGCCAGCGGCTGAGGGCCGCGGGCCAGGAGGAGGTGGTGCCGGGGCTTCTCAGGCCAGGGCGCCGCGGAACCGAAAGCAGCGGGGGGCGGGGGAGAGGAAGGAGGGGGCGGGCGCGGGGACGCTAGGGCGAGGCGGCCACGCGGGGCCGGGAATGCCCGCGGCGCGGGGCCGCAGAGCCGCCCGGTGGCCGTGTCCGGGCGATGGCTCTCCGCCTGGTCGCCGACTTCGACCTCGGGAAGGACGTGCTCCCGTGGCTGCGGGCGCAGCGGGCGGCGTCCGAGGCCAGCGGGGCCGGAAGCGGCGGCGCAGGTGCTGGAGGCGCGCGTCGGGGCGGGGTGGGGGCGGGGAGTGGGAGTCCCTCATAGCCCCCGGGCTCCGACCCCGCGGGGAGCAACTCGGGGCCCTGCCGCCCTGTGGAGGCTGGTGCGAGGGCGCCGCTCCCCTCCTCAGAGGGCTGTTTTGGCTTTGCCACCCTCACCCGGCCACAGCGGAAGGTCTGGGGGCAGAGCCCGGGCCAGGTGGCGGTGGGGCCTGAGGCGCCTGGCTCGCTGCCGGCCCGCGGGAATTCTCCCTTGGCCGAGGGGTCGGGACGCTGGCGGTTCCCTCAGCATCACCTCACGGCGAGGGCAGAGGGTCGTGCTCAGCCCAGCGGTCGCATCCCACCTCCCGCGGCGTTCATCGGCCGCGCAGGGGCTTTGCCGAGACAGGGGTGCTCCTGGAAGCTTCACGTTTTGAGAAAGAATCCGTGACCACCAAAGAAACCACCCTATATCTAACAGTGGAACAGTTTGTCCCCACATTTGCGAGACGTGTTTCTGCCTCTGTTGAACCGTGTCCGTGGCTCAGGGGACACGGGGCTTGGCGCTAGAGGCGCGAGAGGGCAGGGGCCGCCTCCGGGCTGCGGGCTGCGGAGCGAGACCCCCCAGGCGCCCCCGAGCTCCGCACCTGTGCAGGCTGGAGCTGCGCGCGAGATGCTCGGCTCCCGGTCCAGCCACCTCGGGGCTTTTTGATGATTCGGTAAGGGAGTGAAAGTGACTTTTGAGCCTTCCCAGCACTGATCTACTTTAAAGAAGGGGAACGTTGTGATTTCTCACAGAGTTTTTAAAGTCTTCTGTAAATGTTGGAGCTTCAGAGCTTACATGCAGCTTCAAAGCAGCGATGCCTGTGGGTCTCACCTTGCGTGTAGGGCGTTGTCCACTTCGGTAAATTTGGAAGTGGGTTTTTCGGAAGTGGTTATTAAATGACCCACATATACAACTCCTTTCCCTAAACGCTGGTGAAATTTTTATTGATGTAAGTTATATATCTAACGTTGCTATCTTGTATCTTCACACTCTCCTGTGACTATAGCGGAATTATTTGTAGGTTTCCTTGGCTTGGAATATTATTAGTTCCAAATAAGGAGTTATATGTTTGTGTAGTGTATGCGTTGAGTTTGCATTAGTGTCATGATTAGTAAGGCTTTACTTTTTTTCGAGGTGGGGAGGGTGGTCAAAGAAGAATTTTATACAAAAATTAGCTGGGCGTGGTGGCACGCGCCTGTAATCCCAGCTACTCGGGAGGGCTGAGGCGGAAGAATCGCTTGTACCTGAGAGGCAGAGGTTACAGTGAGCCGAGATCGCGCCACTGCACTCCAGCCTGGGCAACAGTAAGTCTCCATCTCAAAAAAAAAAAAAAAAAAAAAAAAAAAAGGTCGCCCAAATGTCTGAAAAGTTTTTGAAGGCTTAACTTTTTGAAATACAACAGGCAGCTCTGTCTTTTACCACGAAGTACTCCTTTTTCTGGACTCCCACTTTATTTTGCTAAATGGCAGGTGTCTGCAAATGAGAAGTTAGATGAAGCGTGAAATGCCACAGTCTTACGTTTCAGTAATGTGTGTTGTGCTTGAAAAGCTGTGTGTGATCCACTTGGACCTGGCTTCCTTGTATCTTTCGCTCATCTCTGAAGAAATATAAGCTTGTGTATTGACCTTCCACTAAACAACAGATAGCTCTAGGTCCTCAGAAGGTACTTTCTGAAAATACTAGCTTTTCTGATACTGGTAGTATTTTGCTCTTTCTGAGCAAATATCTTGGCAAGATATTAGCCCTGTTATACTAAAATAATTATCACCTCTGATAATCACCAGTGGGTGGTAGCTCAAAAATACCCCCACACAAATTAATGCCTGTTCTGTAATTTATAGCAGTGGCAGGGAAATCTGAGATTCTGTCTCATTTCTAGCACAGCAGTTACTACATACATTTGTGCAAATCATTATCCTTTCAAAATTCCAGCTTTTCAAATGTAAATTATGAATAATTATACCATTGTAGTGCCTCCTCTATGCACACTTGCTTTCTAAATTTGAAGCCTTAATATTTTTACATCAACAAATACAATTGAAGTTTTCTTAGAGGTGCTAAGTAATTCTCATGAAATATGTATGACATATTCCTGACAAAATAGAGAGCTGGGCTAAGTCAGCCATGGAAATTCTGTGCCTATAAGATAGCATTTTGGTCAAAAAGGGGTCAAGGAGGAAAGAGATCAGATTTGGTTACTGCATTTGCTCCTGGTTCTGGGTTGAACTTTTGAGAAAATGGTTTCTCCTGAAATAAAAGAAGATATTTGTTAAAAATCAAAACAACTGCATAAAAGAATATTTTAACATGTAGCTGTAAATAATAAAAAAACAAAGCAAAACCGTGTACCCACTACCCAGCTTAAAAGTACAGCAATGTCAAGATTCTTGAAGGCTCTTATGTGCTCCTTTCTGATTCTCTTTCTTTCTCTCATCCTCACCTCCTAGGTTAGCAATCATTTAAATTTTTATATTTTAACATTACTTTGACTTTGTAGTTTAGCCCATATGTATATCTCCCTCGGCAAAATATTTCATTTTGCTTGCCTGTGAACTTTAAAGCATACTGTATGTATTCCTTTTGCTTATTTTCCTTCTCAATATTGTGAGATGTACTCATATTGACTGGCTAGCTGCAAGTTATTAATTTGTATTAATTAATGCTCTATAGTGTTCCATCGTGTGAATTCAACATGATGGTGGACGTGGAGATGCACCCCTTAGATTTTCCTTTCAAAGAAGAGTTTGTCCCAGATGCTGTGAGTATAGTCAGCAGGCAGTCTTCAACTGTCAGCCCCTTCAGGGATTGCCTGGCAAGAGGGCTGCCCTACCCAACTTCACTTCCTTTTGGGTATGGACCACATGAGATTGAGTGGGCTTTAAAGGCCTGGCCATTTTGATTGAACATGGGACAACTCCGTTTCAGTTCTGAAGCTTCCTCTGTGGGAGGCCCAAGGTCACCTGAGGTTATTGGGCCTGCATTGCTGCTGGACTTCTCACCCTACCAGGACTTGCTTCCTTCTCCTTCCTCTTACGGGTGTTAATCCCACTTTCCTGAGCACTCCCTGATGAATATACTGGGTAGTAAACTCTGTCTCAGAGTGCTTCCTAGGGAACCCAACTTATTTTTCCAGTGGGTGGCTTTTGGGGGGTTTCTGGGGTTTGCTATATGGTCAGTACTCTTACCACCTGGTGCACACAGGCGTAGGTTTCTCTGGAATGTATATCTAAAAGCGGAGTTGCTGAGTTAAAGGCTGTGCACATCTTCATCTTTCCTGGGCGGTGCCAAATTGTTTTCCAAAGTGTTGTACTTCATAACACTCCAATTTGTGGTGTGGAAATGTTTCTGATACTCACTATCCTCACAAGCCCTTGACAGTTCAGGATTAAAAAAATTTTTTTTTGTCAAACTGGTAGGACTAATTGTTTCATTGTGCTCCGTGGTTGAACATCTCTATGTATTTACCGGCTATTTGAATTTCCCCGCCTGTGAAATGTCTATTCATCCTTTTGTCCACTTTCCTATTTTTTTTAAATTGTTTTAGGAGTTATGTTTTTGGGATTCTAGTTATTTGTTTATCACATATGTTGCAGATATTTTTCTCTCAGTCTATCACTTTTGTTTCAGTTTGTGATGGTGCCTTGATAAACAGGAGTTCTTAATTTTAATGTAGTCTAAATTAGGAGTTTTTCTTTATAGTTTGTACCTTTTAGGATTTCTTAAGTCCTCCCTGTTTTGAAGTCGTGAAGACATTTTTAATATTAACTTTTAGAAGCTTTATGACTTTTTTACATTTTGATTTTAATCCACCTAGAATTTATTTTTATGTGATTTATGGGAGTCCAATTAAAAAAAATTAATAGCTAATTGTTTCAATATTATCAACCAAATAGTCCTTTTAGTTCTCACAACAAAGCCCCTTCTGTCACATCAAGCTGCCTTATGTAGGTCTCCTTTTCTGAGTTCATTTTGTTCCATTATCTCAACTTGATAACTTTTTTTTTTTTTTTTTTTTTTTTTTGAGAGTCTGGCTCTGTTGCCAGGCTGGAGTGCAGTGGCACGATCTCAGCTCACTGCAACCTCCGCCTCCCAGGTTCAAGCAATTCTCCTGCCTCAACCTCCCAAGTAGCTGGGATTACAGGCATGCGCTGCCACTCCCAGCGAATTTTTGTATTTTTGGTAGAGACGGAGTTTCACCATATTGGTCAGGCTGATCTTAAACTCCTGACCTCAAGTGATCTGCCCGCCTCGGCCTCCCAAAGTGCTGGGATTACAGGCGTGAGCCACCATGCCAGGCCATGACAACATCTCAATAACTATGCTATATGATAAGTATTGAGAACTGGTAGGGTAAGTCCCCTCACCTTAGTATTCTTCATGAGTGTCTTAGCTGTTGTATGCCCTTTGCTTTTTCATATATATTTTTTTGAATCTGCCTGTCAGATTTCACAAAAGAGTTGATTTGGATTTCCTTTAGTCACATTGCCTCTATAGATCAGCTTGGGGAGAATTGGCATCTTTATGATATTGGATCTTCCTAACTATGAATAAAGTATAGCTCATTATTTATTTAGATCTTTTTAAATGACTCTTAATAAGTCTTAGAATTTTCTCCATGAAGGTTCTGCACATGTTTTGTTAGATTTCATCCTAGGTTATTTTTTGTTGCTCTCATAACTAGCACACTTAAAAACATGGCATGTTGTAACTATTGCTGGTATACAGCCCTGTAACAGATCTTACATGTTGATTTTTGTATCCAGTGCTCAATCCCTTGTTGGGATTGATCACATCTTCAAGAAAATAAGATCCACAATATGTAAGTTTTCTAACATTTAAATGTCAATATTGAAGACTGGAAAGGATGTAGATTTTCTTGCCTGCTTTTATTAGTCTTGGATTTATGAAACACCAGATTGACTTGTCTTTCAAATATTGTAATCTTTGCCAGGGAAGTGGTATATT